CTCTGTCAGAATACCAGTACATATATTGTGTTGTACATATATGATGTTCTTCTCTGCGGAAGCTGGAGCGTTTCATAGGGCTGGGTTTGGCACAACGCCAGCCGGTTCTTCAGGTTCTTCATCAAACTGAGAACATCTGCCTAGTTCTACAAATGATGGTGAAAGGGCTGACGCCTCGCAAAACCCACTCCCTTCTCCCCCCCCCCTGAAACGCCGGAACGCCCAGTGTCTGCAGCGAGTAACATTGTGTCCTCCTTTTCGAAATTCAATCGACACAAGATAAACCTGAACTACTGAGCAGGGCGTTTGATCACTCATTTTGTAAGAATCGTTCAGGTAAGATTTACAGAAATCTCTCACAAAACCTTACTTCTTTCAAGAATGGCATTTCCTTCAATTCCTTTTCCATCGAGTCAACCTTCCGTCGCAACACCACCAGCTCACTTTCGGCCTTCAAAACTTTCCATCACCATAACGAGCAACAAAAATCTCAATAAACGTACCTGAGCAAGAGCATTCTGCTTTTCCTGCAACGTTCCAACCAACTCTGTATGTTGACCGTATTTCTTTTCAAGCTCAGCTCGGATCACTTCTGGAAAATTTACGCAGATAGGGGCATGTTATCAAAAGCTGAGAAGCCCAAAATTTCATGTAAAGTTAAGAATAAAGTCATGTGCAAATAAAAAATGTGCAGGCTCACGGTCATTCTCGTTCCTCTTTTGGACGTTTTCCTGCAGAACAGCGTTTGACATTTCGAGATTTGAGATGGTCTTTTTCAGAAACTCACTTTCCTGTAAAATATGCTCTCAATGTGAGCGCAGTAACGACAGTAGAGCATAGTAAGAATGCAAGACTGAACCGCTCCAGCCGCGAAGTATGGACGCCGCTCAGTCTTTCATTAGCTAAAACATCTGTACATTTCAGTATAGGCACACAGTTGCTGGGAGCGGACCCAAGTCACCTAACTATTGTTGGCTGACTAGAGTCCTCCGCTAAACGCGGAGTGTGGCCTCAAATCGGTATCGATAATAGCAGAATCCTTCGAAAACACACCAGTTCACACTGGAACGGTTGAGCTCCGACAAAGAACTTGTGAGAACACTACTGTATTCAGGGCACGTCAGACGTTAGGGATCGTCGGTGGGAGCTGGAGCGCAATCGCTCTCG